TTATGGTCTGCGAATTCTGTTAACCTGGGAGAAGGTGTTAGGCATTCCCGAGTTCCGAAGTTCAAGCACGGTCGCTTTAATAATTATACATGGCCTAATTAAATTGTTTAATTATACGGTTTAGAACCTATGTGCATTTTACCTCTTTTAATTAAGAAATTATCCTAAAACGAGTCACGCGTACGTGTACTCATTTCGTTCGGTGCGTCAAGAATCATGTCACGCGTACGTGTACACAATATATCACGTTTTGTTGATATTAAGAAAGTTTGGCCGAAGTTGCGCGAACGCATACTTCAATTTATTTTGAGAATCATAATTATGTCACGCGAACGTGTACACAATCACAATAAGAGATTAGTTAAGAGCGTGCCTAAAAGCATACTATTAATGTGAATTCTATGGATATTGTTTTATTGAAAGCCATGAAGTGTTTTACCTTTTGGAATCAAACTATTAGTATTTGAGGAAATTAGGTCTTCGAGCCTTTGTTCTTGAAGGGGTTCGACAGAGAAACTAAATTGAGTAGCCTCATTCTTGGTTGAAATCAATTTAGCGCATAAGCCAGAATAACTTTCAAAACCAATAATATTCAACATGTTAGGGATTTGTGGGTTCAACCTTGATAAACTAATTGGATAGTCTAAAAATCCTATTGTCCTCTTTAACCACCACAGAACTAACATTGGCCCAATAATTCATTTTATCTTTGATCCCTTGAACTAAAAACCATGTGACCCAATATGTTAATTTAAACACACATTCTTATCCCCTCAAACTATAAAAGTTTAGTGGCAAAACCAATGGGAACGATCAAAACAAATCAACATTCAACTAATTTAATCACTAAACTAATCAACACAGGAGAAAACGTTTATGAAGGAAACACATAGAGCTTTAAGGAAAGAAACCAATTAAGAGCAGGTATGATACGTACTTAAACTACAAGTGAAAATAAAACTTTTATTGTTGAATTTCTAACCTTTTTGTTGCGTACAAAGAAGAAAATACCAAAAGAAACAGCAACATTTATGGAGCTGCTATTAGCTCGATCGACCTTGCAAAATTGGTGATTTAGTGGTTGTTTTTTGCTGGGTTTTGGAGCTGGATATTAGCTCATTGTTGCTGGGTTGGGGCTGTATTCAACTTGTTTTTTGGAGCTACTTTTGAGAGCGATTTCGAGCTGAAATTTCAAGGTGTTTTAATGAAGTTTTTGGCCCGTTTTCGTGGTTGTTTGGAGCTGGAGTTTAGGTGATGTCCATGGCTGGTGTCACGACCCAAAATCCGACCCAGTCGTGATGGCGCCTGTCGTGGAACTAGGCCAGCCACTTACTTCCTTTTTACCATTTTATCCAATTATTTACTTACGAAAAACATCAATTTTCAATACATAATTTAATAATAATAATAATAATAGAAACGTCAAAATAGCGGAATGAAACACAATCCCCGACCATGGGTGTCACTAGTCATGAGCAAAACTAATACAACTGTCTGAAATACAAGTCTAGAATAGTCTGAATACATCCAATAAGTAAAACTAGAGGAAGATAGGGAAGGAGAAGGCGGAACTGCGGTCACCGAGCAGCTACCTCGCAAATCTCCAAGTGAAAGTCCGCACAATATACTCAGCAGCCGCTACCGTGCCCCGAGATACCTGGATCTGCACATAGAGGTGCAAGGGGTAACGTGAGTACACCAACTCAGTAAGTAACAAGTCCAACCTATGGACTGACAGGTAGTGACAGACCAAACCTCAACAGGCAATTTAGCAGTAAACGGAACAGAAATGTAGACATGCTTACAGTTCAAGTAAAACTCAACAGTAATAGAAGCAATTGATCAGTAAAGAGTCCAATACTTAGAGATGTCATATATGTACCAATGCACAGCTAAGATGATCAATGTTCCCACAACCTCCACTCATAAGTGCTCAACCACTCGGTACTGTATATGGCCATCCGATCCAGGGAAGGTCCATCCCGAAATATACATCACTGACCTTAGTCATCTAGTACCGAGGACACAGGCCAATCTAGCCTCACGGAGAAGATCCATCTCCCAGTATAGTAATTCGGAAAAATCCATGTCCAGGGAAATCCATCCCTCAGTATAATCATCTACTACGCTCATTGGGGGTGTAAAGACTCCGGAGGGGCTTCTCTGAACCCAAGCGCTACATTAATGCCAGCGAAGGCATGATCAATATCATTGTTGCGGCGTGCAGCCCGATTTCATACTGTCAATCAATACTCGGCTTTCGGCTTCACTCAGTCAATACTCTCCAGTCTCATACGCATGGGCTAAGATGTCATAATGCAAGCCCGAACAATGATATGATATGTCAAATAGCAATAATCGAGACTGAGGCATGATGTAATATGCATGAACATGACTGAGTATAAAATGTACATCAATTTAACGACATAATAGAAAGAAACGACCTCTCGGGTCTCAACAGTGTTGTCGTGAAGCCTTAACATGATAATTAACATGATTTACAGCTCAACAGCTTAATCACAACACATATATAGATAGTAAATAACTACTAAGCGGCGCTCTGGAATGAACCAGGCCGCATTTCTCACGGTGCACGCTCATACGCCTGTCACTTGGCATAGCGTCACCTTCATAACAATCATAGAATGCATCGTTCGGGGTTTCGAACCCGCAGTACCAACGTTGAAAAAGTTACTTACCTCAAGCCGGCCAAAACTCTTGCACGTGATGCCTTTTCCTCTCGAATCAGCCTCCAATTGCCTCGAATCTAACCAAAATCAGAACATAACCATCAAAATATGCTAAGGGAACAAAGCCCACTCTAAAGTAATCAAAATACAACGCGAATCCCGAAATTAACCAGACCTGACCCCCGGACCCACGTCTCGGAATTTGGTAAAATTTACATCAACAGACACCTTATCTTCCCACGAGTTCATACATATCAAAAGTATTAAAATCCAACCACAAATGACCCCTCAAATCCTTGCTCAAAGGTCTCCAATCTCAAGCCCTAGTTTTTCCAATTTTTACCCTTAATTTCCATAAATTTTCAAGTCAAATCAGTGAAATAACACCTTAGAAACGAGATAAGGGTCCAAAAACCTTACCTCTATGAAATCCCCTTGAAATCCCTCTTCAAATAGCTCCCTCAAGCTCAATCCCGTATGAAAATGGTACAGAACAACTCAAAAATCGCGAAGGAATTCTTTTATACCTTCTGGCCCAGGCTTTTCGCACCTGCGGTCAAAATCCCGCTCCTGCAGTCCTACTTCTACGGTCTTGACAACCGCACCTGCGATTTTCACTTAACGCCTCAATTTCGCATCTGCGATGCATAGCCCGCACCTGCGATATCGTAGGTTCAATTCCTTAACCGCTTCTGCGGTTCCAGCTGATCCTCTACTTGGCCGCTTCGGCGTCTTACTTCCGCATCTGTGGGGGTTGCACATGTGGCCTCCTAACCGCAGATGCGGTTATGACAGCAGCCCCAAACTTCAGCTGCAAACTCAACTCCAAACTTTTCCGTCAACTATCCGAAATCACCCCGAGGCCCCCGGGACCTCAACCAAAAGCACCAACAAGCCATAAATTACTATTGAAACTTATACAAATCTTCAAAACACCTCAAACAACATCGAAACAACCAAATCACATCGGATTCAAGCCTAAGAACTCTAACAACTTCCAAATTCCACTTTTGATCAAAAAGTCTATCAAACCACGTCCGAATGACCTGAAATTTTGCACACACATACCAAATGACACAACGGACCTACTACAACTCCAGAAATTCCATTCCGACCCCTATATCAAAATCTCACCTATCAATCGGAAAACGCCAAAATTCTACTTTCGCCAATTCAAGCCTAAATCTACTACGGACCTCCAAAATACGTTCTGATCACACTCCTAAGTCCCAAATCTCCTCCCAAAGCTATCCGAACCATCGAAATTCACATCCCAGCCCTTTATCAGATAAGTCAACATCCGGTTGACTTTCCAAACTTAAGCTTACTCAAAACAGACTAAGTGTCTCAAACCTTACCAAAACCATTCCGGATTCGAACCGACTAAACCGATACCACATAAAATGGATAAACAAAGCATAAATAAGCAGAAATAGGGAAAATGGAGCGGTAACTCATGAGACGACCGGTTGGATCGTTACAGTTGGTTTTAGGCTGAATTTTAGGAGTGAACAGTGACTCTATGGTGAAGCTAAATGGGGAAGATGAAGTATTTTTTGTGTGTGATAAAATGGTGATGGAGAAGAAGAATAAGGCTGCTAGATTTTTGTTTTTGCCAGATCTCTCGTCCTCTCCCCCTTCTGTGCTTTTTAGTCCGTTCTCACCCCCAATTCTCCGTCCATTTTTGGGAAGAAGGGGTGGGATCCTTTTTGTGTGTGCTAGATACTCATTTATAGGGTAAGGAATTAGGGGTTTTAAAAGGTTTTAATTTGGGTGTAAAGGGTATTGGGCTCAATGTTTTTGGCTATCTAAAATTGGGCCTTTCCAACCCAAATCTTAATTTTTTCTATAAATAATGTAAAATATATACTATAAAATACATAAATAACTCTAATTAATTAAAATAAATAATATTATATTGTGAAACTATTTTTTTGGTATTTTTCAAGATTAAATAAAAATAAAAATAGATAAAAATAGGTGAAAATAGTATTACTACATTAAGTACTAATTAACCTTAAATTAAATAGACTTGAAACTATTTTTGTGTGTTTTCAATTTTTTTAAACTACTAAATAAAATAACAATAAAAATAGTATATTAGAATCCTAGAAAAATTCAAATAACTCAAATAAATATATAAAATAGGGAGAATAGCCTAAATGGCACTTATGCTTGTGCCACTTTGTCATCCCGGTCCCCAAACTTAATGAAGTTTCATCTAGACACCTCTACTTGTTCAAAAGTAATATTTTAAACCCTTCTGACCATTTGTGTTCCTCAATGTCTCACTGTATTATCCACGTCAGATAAAAATATTCCATGTCATTATTTTTATTCACAAAACTATTTTTGGAAAAGTAAAAGTTGAATCCTAAAATTTTCTCTCACAAACACATTCATGCCTTTCTCTCTCTGAAAATCAGCCATTAGCAGAGCCTACCCTATGCTCCAGTCATAGCAGAGCAGCACTATGTTTGTTAATCCTCCTTGTTACGAGCTAGTCTGGCCCGGTGTCTAAGCTCGGCTTTTTTCCACCTCACAATCAGGTAACATAGTGAAAAGAGGGTATTAACCTGGAAAGAAGAAAAGTGCGCAGCAAATTAGTGAGTGAAAACACTAGAAATGACGGAAACAAACAGAAAGGAATGACCAAATAAACTCACCAAGATTATTATCGCAATAACCAATAGAGGCCTAGACCAGAGTGTGGAAAGAAAAATGCCGTGTGAATCGAAGTAATTCTGGCGTGCAAAGCTTATCCAGTTTGCAGCTAATAAGCCATTAACCCTTTCAGCGCTATACACTCCTCCAACTGCATCATAAGGAAACTAAGTAGATGTTGGTTAACAGCCTCAAAATTTATGCTTTCAATTAAGCCACAACTTTTTCTTTTTTACTTTCAATTTGAAAACCAACAAATATGTAGTTTTATAGATCCAAAACATAGAAAACCAAGACGAGGAAATGAATAAATTCCAAGAGTTTAGCTTGTGTTCAAAGAACATAAAATGCAATCACCATAAAACTGATGCTTCTGGGCGTTAACCCCCCTTTATTTTTTCTTTTCTTTTCATTTTTTGGTATTTTTAATTAAAATCATAAACTTTTACTCGCTTCTTAAAGCGTGTAGTCACGCATTTTATCCAACTCAGCAAAGCAAATGCCACATAGGCTTGGTCAATGGTCAGAAGGATTTAAAATATTACTTTTGAACGAGTAGACGTGTCTAGATGAAACTTCATTAAGTTTGGGGACCGGGATGACAAAGTGGCACAAGTATAAGTGCCATTTAGGCTATTCTGCCTATAAAATATGCGAAACTGCTAATATAGATTGAAGACATGACGGGTCAAAAATTACATGTCTACAGCTATCCCTCTTTAACTGGAAACACGAAGAGTTTCCAGACAAAGAACGACAAGACAGATTTTTTGACCCGACCCTTATTTAGATAGACCAAAAACTAAAAGAAAAGAGAACGTGACCGAGCCCTGGTATCTGAGCTGCCTACATATCCTTGGCTATAAAGGAATAAGGGTATGTGTAGTTCAGAAATGAATGAAGTGATGGATTATGTGGAGAGGATGAGAGAGTTGAGTGAGGTACTGTTCCGTCGAGGTTCCGGTCCGTGGTCCTGTTATTACATCAAAATTAAAAATCAAAAAGACTAACTAAGCCTGTCAGCTATGAGTTACAAGATTCTTGTCTATAAGTCTTATGAAGCTGGATCTTGAGTCTTGAACGGTTCTTCATGCAGACTTTGATTTGAACCTTGATGCTTGCTAGCTGCAGGTGTTGATTCACTCTTCCACGGCTTCTTCGGATCAAAACTGGACACGCCGTGCTAGTGACTTCAGCCACGTCTTGAGCAGTTCACATCTTTTTTCTGCTTCAGCATTTTGGATTCACTTCTTTTTTTTCTTTTCTTTTTTCTGGATTGAGACTACTTATGTTGGTCATCTTTGACTGTTGACTGGCATTCTTGCCGCGAGCTTCTGCTACTTCTAACTTGAATTGAATTCTGAAATGACTTCCCTCGTTCTCCACATGGGTACCTGCTACTGACTTGAAAGATGAAATAATTCCGTAACGAATTCTCTCGTTCTTCAGGTGGGTGCCTGCAATCAAAATAACAAAACAAACAAAATTTTCTGCCCCAGTTTGCACTCTGAAGATTTGTGAGTTGTTCGCAAAACTGTAAACCACTTATGCTATTGATGCAATGATGAGAGTAAGATAAAGACTCTACTAGGATGCGCGTCTCTTACGAGTAAAACCAAGAAAATTTGTCTAGCAAATGCATCTACTAGAAATAAAAGGTGAATGCCCAAGATTAGGATGTGTGTCTCCTAGGGTAAAACTTGAATGAACAAAACTAGGAAGTGCGTCTCCTAAAAAGTATAACCTGAAAGACCCAGACCAGGAAATGCGCCTGCTAGGGTAAAACGTTTAACCTAAAATTAGGAAGTGCGTCTCCTAAAGAATAAAATCCGGAAAAAAAAACAAACAAACTAGGAAGTGCGCTAGATTTGAGATTGAGCTTGCAAAAAAACTATAAACTAAGCTTGACTAAAGTAAAAACTGACTATATTCTCCAGGCGGGGCCCCTGATTTCAAGAAAACTAAAGATTGATAACATAAGAAAACTAAAAATTGACCCCCTTTTTTTTTCAAATCCAGACTTCACTTTTTAAAAAAAAATTTATTATCCTAGCAGAAAATTTATCAGACTAGGTTTTAATCTTAGGAGAAAGATTCATCATACTAAGATTTTGATGCTAGGAGAAAGTTCATCAGACTAGGTCTTTTTTCTTCTCTTTTTTCTTTGGTATCTTAGGAGAAAGATTCATCAGACTAAGACTTCGATCCTAGGAGAAAATTCATCAAACTAGGTCCCTTTTATAAATTATTATCCTAGGAGAAAATTCATCAGACTAGATTTTATCTTAGGAGAAAATTCATCAGACTAAGACATTTATCCTAGGAGAAAATTATCAGACTAGGTCTTTTTTTTTATCTTAGGAGAAAAATTCATCAGACTAATATTTCTTATTAGGAGAAAAATTCATCACACTAAGATTTCTATCCTAGGAGAAAGTTCATCAGACTAGGTCTTCTATCTTAGGAGAAAAATTGATCAGACTAGATTTCGATCCTAGGAGAAAATTCATCGAACTAGGTCCATTTTTCTTGTTATCTTAGGAGAAATATTCATCAGACAAAAATTTCTATCCTAGGAGAAAATTCATCAGACTAGGTTTTCTATCTTAGGAGAAAAATTCATCATAAGATTTTTATTGGGCCTCGCGCCAACTATTTGAACCCTTCGGGGATTTTTATTGATATTTCCTCACTGTTTTGACTTTATACTTGAACTCAGTCATGATATATTTCAATGTTTTCATACTCAGCCATGTTTACTATGTTTTAACACTTATATGATCTTTTAAATGATAATTGGGCTGAGAAATCCTGTTTTACTACTGCCGAGTGGCTTGTGAGGATTTTTGCCTGAGTAAGGCCGAGGGCCTATGTTGTGAGGAAACACCGATCATGATTTTAGGCCGAGGGCCTGAGATATGTACACCACGAGGTGGCTTGATTGATATGCGGCCGAGAACTAGTGATGATGCCACGAGATGACTTGATATTGCGCTTTGGTCGTAAGGGGCCCCTCCAGGAGTTTGCACACCCCTAGTGAGCGCGGGTACCCATTGTGATGTGAGATATAGACCGAGCGGCTGGTATGGTTTTGAGATATTGCCCGAGGGGCGGATTTGTTGATACTGTGCCCGAGGGGCGAACCTTCATGTGTTTTATTCTTAAATGCCTGGCCTTATCTGTTTAACTGCTGGAAAGGCTTTTTATGAAGTTTTGAGTTGAACAAAATGACTTTTCTCATATTTTTACTGAGTTACTATTTTTACTTGTTTTACTGCTTCATTATATCCGGTAATGTGCCTTACGTGTTTTCCTGCTTCCAGTCTTTATTTATGATTATTACTCACTGAGTTGGAGTACTCACTTTACTCTCTGCACCCTGTGTGCAGATTCAGGCGCATCTAGTCCCGCTCCCGAGTGTTGATCTTTCCAGCTCAGGCGGACCCGAGGAGTCTCTAGGTAGCTGTCGGCATTCGCAGCCTGGAGCTTCTTATCTATCTTATTTCTTCATGTTCTTGGTTTCTGTATTAAACTCTGTACACTTCTTTGAGTATTCCGGATTGTTTAGATGCTCATGACTAGTGACACCCCGGTATGGGGCTGTGATGGGTTTTATTCCGCATATTAAACTTTGGATTATTTTATTATGCTTTAGGCTGTTTCTTATTGTCTAACTGCTTAAAACTGAAATGGGTTAGTGTCGGCTGGCCTTGTCTTCACGAGAAGCGCCATCACGACCGGGTCCGGGTTTAGGGTCGTGGCTAAAACATTTTTGAATCTTGAATTTTCTTTTCAATTTTCGAAAGAAAAACTTCTAAAGAAGAATGAAAATATCTTTTTGGATTTTTAGAAGAAATTAAAAGAAAATATTTTTGGAATTTTTTTTTTAAAATTGGGGTCTCAAAGAAAGACTTTTCTAAAGAAGGAAGTAAAGGAAAATATTTTTGGATTTTTGAAAATTGGGGGCCGGAACCGATAAGGTTTGCCAACGTATCTCACATCCGGTGAGAATCAGACCCGCGTAGTTTGGCCAGTTTTGACATAATTGGAAAAAAAATATGATATTGACTGACTTTCATTCTTTGAAATATATTTTCTTTTCCTCTTTTTTTTTTTCAAAAATGTTGGCAGAGTTTCGAGGAATTTTCAAATATCGGAATTTTTAGAACTGGATGAATTCTCTATCGTACCTCACTGTTGGTTTTTCTGTTGCTTTTCTTTCCTTAGCCGGTCAACATATAAGCCGAAGCAAATAAATGTACAAACGTCATGTAAGATGCATCAGGATTGTCTTTTATTTCGGGTACACCTGTCCTAGACGAACCCAACCCCTGTGTTGAGTCCCCTAAGTCATAACACATGATGCAAACAAATGTTCCTACTAGGGATCCGGCATGAGGCTATGTTATTCTAGGTTTAAAACCCTGAGGGTTTGTTCTAGATATGGTTTACCCAAGCGGACAACTCGAGCCGAGGTGGGGGCAACGTACCGGGAGCACGAAAGTCTACCCGGCCTTGTTGCTGACCCAAGCCTCGTTCTATTTGTTATGACTTCTAACAGAAAAGTGGGCTATGCGTACGTGTGCACCATATTTTAGAAGACTCGGAAGGGAGGCGTGAGAAGAGAATTTAATATAGTTCAAGTAAGCGACAATTAGCACATTAGGTTCACAAATACTGTAGTATCAACAAACAATAAAGCCAAGCAATAATCATATTAAAAAGCTCGAATTCTTGAACGCTGAACAAGAGATTCTGGGGTCTTGTCCGCAGCAGAGTCGCCAGAGCTGTCACACCTCCTTTTTACCCGATGGGTGATAGTGAGTTTTTCCAATTAATGTGACAATAACCGAAATGGGATTATTTATTTAAATTCAGAGCCGCCACTTGGGATAATTTATGGTGTCCCAAGTTACCGGTTTATTTTAAATCCCAAATCGAGGAAGTTTGACTCTTATTTATGGTCTGCGAACACAGAAGACCGGGTAAGGAATTCTGTTAACCCGGGAGAAGGTGTTAGGCATTCCCAAGTTTCGCGGTTCTAGCACGGTCGCTTTAATAAATATATCTGGCTTAATTAAATTGTTTAATTACATCTTTTAGAACCTATGTGCATTTTACCTCTTTTAATTAAGAAATTATCCTAAAACGAGTCACGCGTGCGTGTACTCGTTTCGTTTGGTGTGTCAAGAATCATGTGACGTATACGTGTACACAATTAATCACGCTTTGTTAATATTAAGAAAGTTTGGCCGAAGTTGTGCGGACACATACTTCGATTTATTTTGAGAATCATAATTATGTCACGCGAACGTGTACACAATCACGATAAGAGATTAGTTAAGAGCGTGCCTAAAAGCATACTATCAATGTGAATTCTATGGATATTGTTTTATTGGAAGCCATGAAGTGTTTTACCTTTTGGAATCAAACTATTAGTATTTGAGGAAATTAGGCTTGCGAGCCTTTGTTCTTGAAAGGGTTCGACAGAAAAACTAAATTGAGTAGCCTCATTCTTGGTTGAAATCAATTTAGTCCATAAGCCGGAATAACTTTCAAAACAAATACTCTCTCTGTAAACCTATTTCCTTTTTGGTCCGTTCCAAAAAGAATGAACCCTTTCTAAATTTGATAACAATTTAGCTTAAACTTACAACTCTACCCTTAATGAGAAACTTTTATAACCACACAAATACTCTGGGGCCCATTTGGATTTGTTTAGGACCACAAATTCCAAAAATCTTCATTTTTTCTTAAACTCCGTGCCCAATCAAACAGGTTCACATAAATTGGAACGGAGGAAGTAATATTCAACATGTTAGCGATTTGTGGGTTCAACCTTGATAAACTAATTGGATAGTCTAAAAATCCTACAGTCCTCTTTAACCCCCACAGAACTAACATTGGCCCAATAATTCATTTTATCTTTGATCCCTTGAACTAAAAACCATGTGACCCAATATTTAATTTAAACACTCATTCTTATCGCCTCAACCTTTAAAGGTTTAATGGCAAAACCAATGGAAACGATCAAAACAAATCAACATTCAACTAATTAAATCACCAAACTAATAAACACAAGAGAAAACGTTTATGAAGGAAACACATAGAGCTTTAAGGAAAGAAACAAATTAAGAGCAGGTATGATACGTACTTAAACAACAAGTGAAAACGAAACTTTTATTGTTGAATTTCTAACCTTTTTGTTGCGTACAAAGAAGAAAATACCAAAAGAAACATCAACACTTATCGAGCTGCTATTAGCTCGACCGACCTTGCAAAATCGGTGGTTTAGTGGCTGTTTTTTGCTGGGTTTTTTGAGCTGAATATTAGCTCATTGTTGCTGGGTTGGGGCTGTTTTCAACTTGTTTTTTTGGAGTTGCTTTTGAGAGCGATTTCGAGCTGAAATTTCAAGGTGTTTTAATGAAGTTTATAGCCCGTTTTCATGGTTGTTTGGAGCTGGAGTTTAGGTGATGTCCATGGCTAGTTTTAGGCTAAATTTTAGGAGTGAACAGTGACTCTATGGTGAAGCTAAATGGGGAAGATGAAATATTTTTTTTGTGGGTGATAAAATGGTGAGGGAGAAGAAGAACAAGAAGAAGGCTGCTAGATTTTTGTTTTTGCCAGATCTCTCATCCTCTCCCTCTTCTGTGCTTTTTAGTCTGTTCTCTCACCCCCAATTCTCGGTCCGTTTTTATGAAGGGGTGGGAATCTTTTTGTGTGTGTTAGCTGCTCATTTCTAGGGTAAGGAATTAGGGGTTCTAAAAAGTTTTAATTTGGGTGTAAAGGGTATTGGGCTCAATATTTTGGGCTATTTGAAATTGGGCATTTCCAACTCAAAAAAATCTTAATTATTTTTTTTACAAGTAATATAAAATATATACTATAAAAATACATAACTAACTCTAATTAATTAAAATAAATAATAAAATATTGTGAAATTATTACTTTTGTTGGTATTTTTCACCATAAAATATAAATAGATAAAAATAGGCGAAAATAGTATTACTATATTAAGTACTAATTAACCTTAAATTAGATAGACTTGAAACTATTTTTATGTTTTTCGACTTTTTTTTTAAATACTAAATAAAATAACAATAAAAATAGTATATTAGAATCCTAAAAAAAATTCAAATAACTCAAATAAATATATAAAATATACGAAACTGCTAATATAGCTTGAAGATGTGGCGGGTCAAAAATTACACGTCTACAGTAGAATTTAAATAAGTAAACAAGGAAACACTGTAAAATGAAACATAAATAAGGAAGCAATAACATGCATGCAGAATCAATAAAAATCGAATTTAGGGAAAAATAGGTAAACCCTAGTTTTCTAGGTAAAGTAAATATTGACAAAATATAACAAAAATCGGATACACAGTAGAATATAGGACGGATATAGACATAATAACACTTAAAATCAGAGAATCGAACCCATTTTGGTTCAACCTCAAGAGATCTGAAAACCCTAGTTTTAGGATAAGTAAGAATCAACAGAAAATACACAGAGACTAGTACACATAATAGAACAAAGGATGAATATAGACGGAATAGCAGAAATGTCAAGGATTTGAAATGATTTTTGTTCGATTTTGATGAGATTTGCTTGCCATGTTTAGGCAAGTGATATTAGGCTATATAGATGATATTTACACCTTAATATTACCATGCTTTATTGTTGTTTTATAGGAAAATTGATAACAAAATGCTCTAAATGGTGTTCTTTTGTTTCGCAGGGAATATTCTAAGTGAGGAAGCACTACGTAGTGTTTTGGAGGCAATACTGTGAAGAAAACGCCCAATCAAGAAGTACCCGAGCACAAAGAAGCAAAACTAGACTGAGTAAAAATCCACCGCGATCGCGGTGGAACCGCGGCAGATCAAGCGTCGAGGCAGAATGCTCAGCGTGCACCGCGGTCTTGCCGCGACCGCGGTGCACTGTTCACTCGCCAGGAATTTGGGGACCAAAGTGTAAATTCGGGAAAACTTGTTCCAAACCCTTATAAGCTTTTGAAACTCGCCCAAGATTGGTAAAAAAAAAGCTTGTTTTAGATTACTTTGGAGGCAAGAACAAGTGTGACAAGAGTAACAAAACATTAGAATTCTTCTATCTTCTTTTGATTATTTTTATTACCCATTATGAATAATTTAGTAGTTTTATCTTGTTTTGTTATGAGTAGCTAATTTCCTAGTCTAGGATTTTGATGGAACCTATTGAAGGATGAACTTCTTGTTATGTTAATATAGTTTGCCCGGTTTAATCTCTATTTGGTCGACTATGTTCTTATTGTAGTTAATTGACAGGATCCTCAATTAGCTGTGCCTATTTAGTGTGCATAACTCGGGAGAGAGTGCACATTTAGGTAATTGTTGAACAACACCACTCCCAAAGTATATGAGGGATCAATAATCGAGGGTTTAAAGGCGGGATTAGAGATAACGAATCCTTGGGTGTGATCTAAAGTGAGCTGTAATAAACAAAGCCAGTTAGCGTATCTCGGGAGAGTGCGTGTAGTAAATTATTATGATTACTCGGGAGAGATTTACGGTAATAATAGTGCTCATGATTGATAGACATGATTAGACAATTCTATGTGAAGCATAACCGGAAGGGATTCCATCAATAGGGGAAATCATAACCTTAGAACCTTCTCTTAATTGTTTACAACTTCATCATAGTTAGTTTTCAGCTGCTTATTTACTTTCATTCGTAGTTAGTAAAAATACCATCAATTGTTATTTACAACGTTTGGGAAGTTGATTCCGTAGAATTTAGTAATTCCAACAAGAGTAATTGATATGTAATTCCTTGTGGGTTCGACTCTGGGCTAAATACTCAGATTATATTTGCAACGTCCGCGTGTCCTTTTATTAAGGCATAGTTGGCCGTGATCAAATTCTGGCGCCGTTGTCGGGGAATTAACGGTGTTATCAATTACAATTGAAAGAAATACAGAAATTCTTAGTGTAATCAGTTTTCTCTATACCCAATCTATACATTAAAATTTTAACGTTTGTTGACTTGGTTGTACAGGTGCATGCCTAGAAACTCAACGAGAACTGGTGAAGTATTCGAAGCTTTATCTGATCCTGAGAAAGTTTTTAAGGCCTTGAACCATGCCAATCGGAAAAGCAAACAGCAACAAACAATTGAACAAATTGAACCGAACATGGGAGATCACGAATAAAACCCAACGGCACCTCTTGTGCCAGAGGCTGCTCTCTATGACTGGGCATAACCCACAGCTGAAAATCTGGCCACAGCGATTGTAGTCCCGCAGATACAGGCTGAATCATTCCAAATCACGAATAACATGCTGCACTTGTTGCAAAACAAGGGACTATTTTCGGGGTCACAAGTCGAAGATCCTCAACAGCACTTGAAAAATTTCCTGTCAATTTGCAAAACCCAAAGGCAGCCCAACGTAACTCCGGAAGCAATCAAGCTGTTATTGTTTCCATTCTCAGTGACAGGAGCTGCCCAGACCTGGCTAAACTCACTCCCCATAAATTCCATAACAACTTGGGAGGAGTTAGCCAAGCAATTCCATAACAAGTTCCACCCACCCAACAAGACTGCTCAACAAATTGATGAAATTTTGAGTTTTAAACAGAGACCAATGGAGACACTGCATGAAATATGGGAACGCTTCAAAGGGATGCTGGTTATATGTCCGCACCACGGTATTCCAGATCTGATGTTGGGGCAGCGGTTTTACAAGGGATTGTCAGATAGCGTGAAGAACATAGTTGATGCTTCAGCTGGTGGAGCATTTTTGAGCAAAACATGGAGAGAAGACCGAGTCTGCTTGACAAGATGACACAGAATTTGGGATGGACAACCAGGAATGCACCTATCACCCCAGTGGTTCACTCATTGCCCTTAGATCCATCCAACTCTATGGCTGAAAATATGGCCACCTTATTGACACAGATCAGTATACTCACCAACAAGGTGGAAGAATCAGGGCAGAAGCAGCAGGTACACATTGTAGATACTACCAATGGGGGCTTGTGCACATCTTGCATTAGTCAGCCAATTGGTAACCAGTGGAATGCGGAACATGATCATCATCACTACCCTGAAGACATGAATTATGTGTCTAATTATGGGGGCCAAAGACAGGGTGGTCAAAATTGGGGTCAGCAGCAGCAGCCATACAGGACAGTCCAGCCACAGTTCAACAATGGAAACATGGGAGGTATGAGACCTCCTAATAATATGGCACCTTACCAAAGGCCACGGGGATACAATAATCAGAATCAGCAGCAGGGGTATCATCCTCCTCAGCAGCAGCATGGTGGACGGCAGGAAGATGGGTTTGCTAGACTCGAAGTAATGATGTAGCAGGTTATTGGGTCTAATGCAAAAATTAGTGAAATAGTAGATGCACATGATTCAGCTATCAAGAATATTGAAGTGCAGATGGGCCAGATTTCGATGTCTCTAAACAATCGTCCTCATAGGACATTACCTGCAGAAACTCAAATAAATCTAAAAGATCAAGGCCCGAAGCAACTGATGGCAGTGAGTCTACAAAATGGCAGAGACCTAGACGTGGAGCAAGAGAGGGCTCGAGAAAGCAGACAGGCGGAGACACTTATACCAGTGCCTACTGAGCTGGATGAGTCAACGAAACTGACAGAGGTGACAGTCCAGCCTGCCCAGGAAGAAAATAACATTCAGATTGAGACTGAGAAAGAAGCTGAGACAGCCCGGGGACCAGCAGTTGAGGTGGCAGCTGATAAAGAGCAATCCCAAATCATTGGGAAGAAGAGACCTCCTGCACCATTCCCTCAGAGGCTGGCTAAATACCAAAAAGAGGAGCAGTACAAGAAATTCTTGGAGATGCTGAAACAAATGCAGGTAAATATTCCATTGATAGATGCTTTGAAAGAGATGCCTGGGTATGCAAAAATGATGAAGGACTTAATGTCCCGAAAATTTGATTTCCAAGACTTGGCCACGGTGACTCTTACTCAGACCTGCAGTGCAGTGGTGACTAGACCAATTGCGGAGAAGCTATCTGACCCAGGGAGCTTTACAATTCCCTGCACTATTGGTAATTTTTCTTTTGCTAAGGCACTTTGTGATCTAGGGGCCAGCATAAATCTTATGCCCCTGGCAATTTATAAGAGGCTGGGGATTGGAAGAGCTAGACCCACTTCTATGTTATTGCAACTGGCTGACAGGATTGTAAAAAGACCTTCTGGTATCCTGGATGATGTGTTGATTCAGGTAGGGAAATTTGTGTTCCCTACAGATTTTGTGATCTTAGACTGCAAGGTGGATGAAGAAATTCCCATAATTTTGGGAAGGCTCTTGTCCACTGGGGGAGCTCTCATTGATTGTGGACTGGGGAGCTCAAGATGAGACTGAACGACGAAGAGATAACATTCAATGTGCAGAAATCTATGAGGCGACCAAGTGAATTCGCCAATTGCTCTCTTATTGATGCCGTGGATGTAATTGTAGCAACTGATGATGAGATGCTGACAATTGAGGACCCCCTGGCTACATGTCTGATGAATTTAGATGAGGTGAATGGAGAAGAATTGGCAGAATGGGTGTTGGCTTTAGAGGGCAGAGGGTTCTGGGACAGAACTCTTGAATTTGAGCCCTTACACTTAGAAAATAGAGAAACTCCTCCAGCTAAGCCATCCATTGAAGAACCACCAAAGCTGGAATTGAAGCCATTGCCAGCCCATCTCAGGTATGAGTTCCTTGGACCTGACTCCAGATTACCAGTTATT